GTTAGTATATAGTGTATATATTATTATATATATATATATATATATATATATATATATATATATATACAACATAATAAATCAGGTATTCTTCTTCTTACTAGTATGATGTCTCGAAGGAGGCATGCTTGATACTTTTTCCTTCCAGGATTGTCTTTGTTGGGGTATTGGGGACCAAAGTCAGCATGCTAGTGAATGATTGGCCTCACATCAAGTTCGACAGTTTAAAGTACTATCACTTATGACATTCATTTATTGCAGAGGGCCAGGCTTGAATGACCAACGTAGTGATCAAATGTATGGTAATCCAATGACCAAAACGTACAACAATGCTAATATAGTGACTAAACTGTACATAACATAAACGATATACTTTTGGCAGAGTAAATGGTTGCTTGGTTGTCCGAGAAGGCACTCATAGACAGGGAGAACTACTACACCATGGATACCCCGGGGGTGACATCAGCGTCAGTGCTTTCTACCACGGCATTCAAGACTGGTATGATATGCAATCAGAGTCGTCTCGAATGTGTGTTCGTCTACAAAATTTGTCCGTATATATATATATATATATATATTGTGAGTGATTCTTAGGCGTTAGTTAGACTCGCACATTAACAGATTTGTTACACTGGGTTATTAGTTTAGTGTTGTAGTGTGTGGCAGTTCTCCTGCCACACGCTCCATCTATAATCAAATATGTTTGACTAGTGATTTTCCTTTCACTTACTCTCTGCCAATGTCTACCCCACAAGCGTGGCCATGACTACTTACAATATTTGATGATGACTCATCGGCTGGGCCAGAGACCCTCCAGGCCCCAGCCGATGAGCAACTAGTAAGCCTGGGCCCTTCCCAGCCCCAGCCTATGGGTAACCCTATGCCTGACGCTTCCCAAGTCCCGGGTAAAGGGTGAACTAACGCCCTAACCCTAACCCCAGGGTTCCACCCACAGCCAATCACAATATATATATATCTTATCATATCATAATAACTACGTTCGTCTGATGCTGGGATTGAAAATATGGTATATCTGACAAGTATGTCCATGCGCTGTTTCAAGTATACATCCTGTTGACAAACATACCTATATATATATATATATTTATATACCAGCCGTATAGATGACACCTGCGTTCCGTTGCTGATGGAGCCAGGGGACACAGTCTTCTTCCACCCTTTACTGATTCATGGCTCTGGTTTCAACAAATCAACGAAAGCGAGAAGAGCCATTTCCACTCACTACGGCGGTGCTGACTGCCACTACATAGATCATAAAGGTGTGTAGTGCTTATGTGTACACACAAACACACATACAAATGGACG